TTTTGTTAAGCCCAGAGCTTGGATCCTTCCCTGTAATGCCAAATTTCTCGTACATTATTTTAACACTGTGCCCTTACAACAACAGTTCAACAAAATCCCTTTATTTGACTAATTGGACAATGTGATTATTTGGATATAAGGTATGCATTGTAGAGTCTTTTGAGGAGCTAGCTTATTGAGATACTAAAGACACGAATCATAACCAACCAGCAGCTTTGAAGCTTTCCGTAGTTGACCTCCAAGCCACCAGCTTGCTCTGCTCCCCTTCAGAGTTATATGAACAGTATGTACTTTCCCACTGTGCAAAAAAGAAATCTCTTTGATTTCCCACCTCTATCTCTTTTCCTTGATAATATTGTTCACATGAACACTATTGCACTTACAGAAAAGCAAAGAAAAGAGGACTCAGGGGGACTATCTGGCTCTTCACAATGACTTCGAAGGGTAACACCCCTTTAATGGCTTATCATAGTACTGGATCTGAGACTTAGGTCTACATGCTCTGAAACTCATTTTTTGTCAGTGTCTCCAGGGGTGACCAAGTTCATATATTATAATGCTGTTTCTAATTTACAATGGAAATATACCTGCTCAAGATAACAAAACATGCTGATATTAGTACTTTGCTCTCATTAGGAAAAGCACTGTGGAAGGCCAGGTTTTAATGAGCATGTGGCTTTGTATTTCTGAACTCTGAGGAAGGGCTATCTGCTACCCAAATGATTTTAATCGCTATTGTGGTTGAGCTAGGGTGGCCAGATGATCCCATCTCATGTCCCTCTCTGACCAATCAGGACAGCGACCTGGAGCCAGAGATGGAACTGGAGAGAACTCTGCCTCAAAATGCTGGAGATATCCTGCCAACTTAATTTTTCTGTTACTGAGGCTCACCCTTCTTCTTCTCACAATTACTTAGTTTTATGAGTTTTATTCCTAGAGGGTAGCCTCTTCCACATTAAAACGTGCTTTGAATAGTTCCCCAGTACATTTCATCTTGCTTTGAGCCACAGTCAGGGCAGATATGTATTCTTGACATCACTGAGGGGCTGATATTTTTGGACTGTACCCTTCTGTTTGGCATATAGACTGTCAAAGTCCTAATATGCTCAGTGGTATCTGCTCTGACCCCACATCTGGGCCTAAATAATCCTATTTACCACATAGCTATCAAGTCTAGACTTGGGAACTCTTCAGTCTGCTGCTATCTTAGTACTTACTTTTTTTCTCTGAACTTCACATTTCTGCTTTAATTTCAATCTCTGAAAATGTCTTACTTTCAAGCTTAGTCAGGCACTTAAAAATGTTTTACAAGTATTCTATTCAGGATTTTTAGCTGCTTTATAAAGGGAGAACTTTTCAGTGTATCTCATCTGCCAAATGACTGGAAATAGCATCTCAATGTATACTTTTCTTTAACACTTTTTAGTTTTATAAATGATTTTGTCCTTTATATTATCTGAATTTTACCACTTATCCATGAGCCACTAGTATTCCCAACATTATCCAAGCAAGGAACCTGACCCACAGAGGGCATACAGGGTTCTCACAGAGCTTTAGAGTGGTAGAAACCAATTTGATATCACTTCTCCCAACCCCCCACTTGTTTTCTCTTTATTCTTGAAACATATCTTCTTGTGTGTGTCTCTGTGTGTTCAGCTATTCTAGTTTCCAAAATTATTTTTTTAAAAAAAGCTTGAGACCCTTTTCTCCTTCAGGACCACACAGATTCACAGTGTAGAAATATAAACCATGATACTGTAGATATCACAGCCACACTGAAGACCACAATTCCCTCACACACAAAGCAGTTCACAGAAATGCAGGGTGTTAATTAATCAGACCCATCATTAGTGGTCTTGGCCATAAAATATGCAGAAGTGTGAGCTGTAGCTCAAAGTTTTGGAGAATAGGTCATCATAAAGATGATGGACCTTGGGCAGTTCTAATAAAAATAAATAAATAAAAGAAAATGAAAAAATAAGATAAAAGTAAAGGGTATTCCAGAATTGGAGAACTTGAAAAGGGGAAGACACAGAAGAGACTGAATGTGTAATATTAAATCAACTTAAGAAAATTACCATATGTCAAGTACTACATTGAGCACCATCTAAAAGAAACGCATGAAGCACATGCCATCAAACTTCAAACAATGCTGTTTCACACTGACACCTATGGATCCACACAAAGAAATGTTTGGTTAGACTAGTACAATGATTTTTAAAAACTTAAAACTCTGATAAGTTCATATAAAAATCTAGATTCTTGGGTTATCTTCAAAATTGGATCATTTGGCAACATTGGTCAACATTCCTGCCAGGAGCTGATGTCTGGAGTCGAACAGCAGCATCCATGTTTTAGATGAAACACAGTCCCCAGTTTGCTATAATTCGTTTTCAGCCCACTTCACTCATTTGTGCTACCTGTGTGTCCCTGTGGACTTATTTTACTTTAAAATCTGACATTCCTGCCAGGAGCTGTGGTGCACACCTATAATCCCAGTGGCTCAACTGGCTGAGGCAGGAGGAATGGGATTTCAAAGCCAGCCTCCGCAACTTAGGCAGGCCCTAAGCAATTCAATGAGACCCTGTCTTTAAATAAAATACAAATACAAAAAAGTGGGGGGGAAATGTTAATCAATCTCCATTCAAAAAAAAAAAAAAACCTGTCATCCCTGACTAAAATTGTACCAAGAAGGAAAGACATTTGTATAAATAATTATAATATAAAGTAGAGGTTTAAATCACTGCAGAAAATGTATTCATTCATTCAATAACCATTTCCTGAATTCCTACAACTTGTTAGGCATCTTCTACTGCTAGGGAAATACTGGTACCTGGGCTTCAGGAGTTCACATTCTACTTCAAAGGGTATGAGAAGCAATCACTGCACACTGAAAATGCTGCAGTTGAGCTATGTGTGCAGGACAATGTGGCCCAAGGAATAGTGATCACCTTTAGTGGGGGGTGGAGGATGGTAAGAGAAGTAACTTTCAAACTGATTCTCCTTCCCTCACTCACTCACTTAGCCTCATTGGCCACATGATTCTTCCTTGACAACACCAGGCACCTTCCCACACCAGGGACTCTGTATACACTGTCCCCTCTGGGTGAAGTGCTCTGCCTTTAATATCTTCATGACTAGGTTCCTCGTCTCTTCAGTCCCTTCTCAAATATCTCTTCTCAATAAATGCAACCTATCCTCTCTTATACTACTCTGCTTTCTTTTTCTCCAAAATACTTGTTGTTTTCTAGCATACTATGTAATAAACTTATGTATTATATCCATTGCTTATTAGTGGTCTGCCCTCACTATAATGTCAACCCACAAGAGCAGGGATATTTATATAATTTGCAAACATTCTGAGCATCTGGAACAGAACCTTGTACAGGAAGTACTTATAAAGTATTAGCAGGATGAAATGAATTAACTCTATGTCAATTAGCTCTACCTCTGACTGCATCACTATGTAATATATCACTGACAGTTCAAGCTATGATGTGACTTTTCTTATCTTCTTTATAATGAGCCTAGACAAAGATATAATGCAAAACTTTACACATGGAAAACCAATAGCAAAAAATCTATGTGCCATTAGTATAAAATATATTGGATTACTCTTTACTATTCTTACATCATTGATCATGGAAAGCTGAAAAATAGGAGATCAACTTGAGTAATTGGAACTTAGATGTTTGGGAGAGGAGGGTAGATGATACAAAAAGCACTTTGGTCATAACTAAGGCTTACAAACATACTTTTTACAACTACTGATTAGAAAATTAAACTAGGTATCTTTTAAAATTCTTATAGTTCTATACTTCTTTTGCTTCTACACAAATTTAGTGAACTGCTCAAAATTTGATCTCTCACTTTTTATTGGTAAACCCCCAATCTACATATCATTTGCACTTCTCTCTGAGGACCTGATTTCCTACTTCGTATCTCCAACCTCTTCAAAACATGTCCACATGGGTATCCCACCATTAGCTGACAGTGTCAAAACCATATTCATCCTCATAATCCTGCCTTCCACTCCTCCTCCTTTTGCTAGTTACTTAGAGGCCCTCTCTCCTTCTCCAAAGCCTGGGTCAGTCTCTGGACCCACTGCTTTACCCTTCAAATTTATTCCTTTGCATTATCCTTTTTTTTTTTCCTTCTCATTGCAGTCACCCTTCTTCAGTCTGTCCCTTCTTCACACCTGGATAACTTGGACAACATCCTAAATATTTCCCTGCCTTCCATTGTATCTGCACTTCCCTCTCCATCAACCCTACGTATATTTTTATTAATCTTCCCAAAATAGATTGAAATATTTGTAATTGCCTCAAAATCTTCGAATGAGTCCTCAATTCCTAAAAATTTTAATGAACAATCAAACAACAAACCCACAGACTGGCATATGAGATCTTTCAAGATACAGTCCATTCTTTTATCTCCAAAAATCCACCCCCCCCCCTTTATTTTGGATACATCCAATCACTGAATACTTTCGTGATGCTTAATACAAGAGTAGATATTTTGCACAAAAAAAAGTGGAACGAAACCTAGTTTAAGAAAATGGGGGGCATGAATTGGCATGAACATACTTTATATACAAAGATAGGAAAAATTGTGCTCTATATGTGTAATAAGAATTGTAATGCATTCTGCTTTGTCGTGTATTTAAAAAAATAAAATCAATTTAAAAAAAAAGAAAATGGCCTTGCCCGTGCGAGGCCCTGGGTTTGATCCTTAGCACCACATAAAAATAAATAAAAGTATAAAAAATTGATATGTTTAAGAAAAAAAGAAAAGAAAATGGGAATTAAGAAATGATTTTGAATGTTATTTTGTAAGTTGTTACAGTGAATGACTCTTCCTTGATAAGAAAATGTACCTTACTTTAGTAAGCCATTATCATAGGCAGTGAATGATAGGTATCATAGATCTGAATGAAAGAAAAAGAACCCAAAATCTTGAGCGGTCACCCTGTGAAGAATGTTCTCCACTTGTTTTTACAGGGAGCCCCGCAAGGTGGTCCTGCACAAAGGCTCCACTGGCTTGGGCTTCAACATTGTGGGCGGGGAAGATGGAGAAGGTATTTTTGTATCTTTCATTCTGGCGGGTGGACCAGCAGACCTGAGTGGGGAGCTCCAGAGAGGAGACCAGATCCTATCGGTGAGTATTTCCCTTTATTCTTTATTCCCTGTAAGTCTGACATTCCTTTAAAAAGTCACTTGAGTTGCAAAGGACTCATGGATGAGAGCATTATTGCTTCAGGTGCTTGCTTTTGCAGTTTAAATGGTGCTCAGGTGCTTGATCCATGAAATCCTTACAATAAAGGTAAAGGTGGTAATATTTTAGATCTTCTGAGACATATTTCTATGCAAAGAACATGAGAAGCATGACTTTTTCAAATTGTATATTACTTATCTTATGAAAATACAAATTTTCGGCACACTTGACACCATAATCTTAAAACTGCACATTTATTATATGTAGAGTTTGCTGCATATAATTAATTAAAAAATGCCTGAGATAATGCTATAACTGTTTAGTGATGGTGATAAACAGTAGCAGCAGTATTTTTACCTAAATTCAGGAATTACCAGCAACAATTTGTTGCACCTATTATTTACCAAGCACTTTATAAAAGTAATGTTTAAGACCACTTTACTAAGGTATTATTGACATACAGAAAGCTGTATATTTTTAACATATACAAGTTAATGTTTGAGGATCTGTATATACCTGTGAAATCATTAGTACAATCGATGCCATAAACATATTCATCGCCTCCTAAAGTTTCTCCTAGCCCTGTTTGATTTTATTATGTATGTGTGTGACAAGAATACTTATTTAATACTTATTTAATACAAAATGTTAAGTGTACAATACAGTATTTTTAACTATTAAATACTATGCCATACAGTAGACCTCTAAGTCTTATTCATCTTGCATAATTAAAAGTCATTTTAGGGGTTGGGGAAGTGGCTCAAGCGGTAGCGCGCTCGCCTGGCATGCGTGCGGCCCGGGTTCGATCCTCAGCACCACATACCAACAAAGATGTTGTGTCCGCCGAGAACTAGAAAATAAATATTAAACATTCTCTCTCTCTCTCCTCTCACTCTCTCTAAAAAAAAAAAAAAAAAAAAAAAGTCATTTTAGTTTACTTTGGGGTATTGCCACATGTTCAAATGAAGAGAATAAGTTTCTGAAAAATTAAAAATTGTCAAAATTTACCAAATTAATATGAATAATTAATACATGTTAATCAAAACATAAATAAATAAATTTAAGTCTAATAATTAGCTGGGCATAGTGGCACATGCCTGTAATACCATCTACTCAGGGACTGAGTTAGGAGGGTCACTAGTTAATGGCCAGCCTAGGCAACTTAGTGAGATCCTGTTTCAAAATGAAAGATAAAAAGGATTGGTGATATAGCTCAGTGGTAGAGTACTCCTGAGTTCAATCCCCAGAACTGCAAAAATAAATAAACAAATAGTAAATGTTTATTAATTACAGTAACTGGTTTTGTTTTTGTTTTTGTTTTTGTTTTTTTGGTACTGGGGGTTGAACTCAGGGGCACTCAACCACTGAACCAAGACAGGGGTCTCACTGAGTTGCCATTGCTGAGGCTGGCTTTGAACTCGAAATCAGCCTCAGCCTCCCTATCTGCTGGGATTATAGGCATGTGCCACCCCACCGGCCCGAACTAGTATTTAAATATTTAGTTTTAATGTTTAATTATACTTTCCCTCTCCCTCGCCACCCCTTCATTCTTCTGTTTTTTCCCTTCTTCTTTCTTTCCCTATTTCCTTTCATTTGTTCAAATATTCAATGACTGTCTCTTTTCACTACATCAAGCTACCTCCCTGGCATGGTAGGTAGTTAAATCTATTGTGGTTTTCAGGCCTATATTAGAATTTTGGTAATCATGCAAATAATGGAAAATTGAATAGGAGCTTAGTTTTATGTCTGAAATTTTGGTTCATAGCTCAGTGAAGCACAGAATATTTGTTTTTCATTGTATACTCAGAAAAACAACCTTGTTTGTATTTAATAGCTGATTTATAGATAGAATTTTCTGAGTGACCTTATATTTGTTACCTTATATTGTTACCCACTATTTCAGCTCCTATCCTTTCTCTCTCTCTCTCTCTCTCTTTCTCTCTCTCTCTCACACACACACACACACACACACAAACACACAATTTTCTTAAACAGTATACAGTCAGTTAACCTGAGTACAGATGATATCAAGAGTCTGCATACATGGCCTTGCCCTGTGTGTTCCTGTGGTTCCCATATAATGTAGGCCTCTGCCCACTCCTCAGCCTGTAGATCTCTAGAAGAATGTTAGGTATGGGAGAAATAAGGAAAGAGTCCATGCCAGGATCTTGTTCTGCCATCCAAGAGCTGAAATACTTCTTCATCACTTAAATATATAAGGTATAACTGGCAGCTCTTAAACCTTATTCCTCATACATGTTTTCATGTCTGTCTTTCTCTACTAGGTATCAAGCTGCCTGAGACAAAGTCCTTTGTCATATGATTTATAGCCCTCAACAATTATAACAGCACCTGGCACATAGCATTCTCTCAAAAAGAATGTTTATTAAATGAAATGTTTTGGACAAATAGGGTGAAGTCATTATAGCCTGAGATATTGACTCTAAAATTCTATCTAAAATATGTCATCTTCATCATCCTGACTTAAAATCTGTATACTTGAGGATCACTGGGTCATTTCCTCCCAATCGGCATTTACATTGTCCTAGAACATTGAAAGACACAAAGCATTTTCACATTTATAAACTATAGGAATCCTCAAAGAAACTTCCACTTTGCAGATTAGGTAAAGAATATTCAGAAAGGCTAAAGAATGTCAAAAGTTCCAAAGCAACTGACTTTAAAGGCGTACTCAAAATCATGTCTTCTGACCCAATGTTAATATTCTTTGTCTTCACAGTGCAGTAGTATCCTATTCTGTCAGTAGTATCCTATTCAGGACCTCCCTGGTACACTGCTTGGTGTGCACCTCACAGCCAGGAACACATAGAATTATGAAGAATTCATAGTTGCAAGGGACTATTGAGTTAGTCATTATTTATAACAATATCACTTTAAGACATCACTTTGCCTTATTTTGCCCAGTTTAAGGATAAAGAAACTAAGGCACAGAAGTGTCATTAGACTCTACCTCTGCTGAAGTAAGAAGTTTAACAAGCCATAGGCTGTGTTTTGACCTCCATATATGTGGGAGAAAAGGATGACTTAACAATGCTATTGTGAAGAAAATTCACAAGTAGTTTGCTTTCAAAAGTTGAAGTATCTGTTTAAACTTAATACCAGGACCACGTAAATGGATAAGGCAACCAACCAGTATTATAGTCTTATTAGAGATTGCAAATTCACAAGACATAGCAACAATCTATAAAGTTCAGATACTATATCCTTTATTAATGTATAACGTTTGCAAGGACATTATCTGCCTTTTTCATTGAAAGGGAGAAGGGAACACTTTTTTTACCCTTTTATCTTGCTAAATTTAACTTTGAGTGGCTAATTTCAAGGCTATTCTTGGAATTTCATTGGTTATCAATTAGAGGAAAATATAAACAGGCTCAAGAAGCTCATACATTACAAGATGGAAAGAAAAATGTCATTATCAGCAATGGGATATGAAAGATACAATATTTTGCTTCTGCAGCTTGCACTGGACTTTAGGGACAAGTAATATATATTCCTGGGGGGAAAAAAAGCAAAACTCTAATAATCAAAATTCATTAAGTGTCGCTGGGTCATGTAGAATTCATTTGCAAACAATTTACACTAGAAAGTTCAAACAAGGGAAAGAATCCCCCAGGAAGAAAACTGGGGATGGGGGTCTTTCTCTGCTCTTAGTTGTTCTTCATAGATGAGGGATTCATGTAATAGTCACCTTACTAATCAGGACAGACCATTACAAAATTATTCTGCCATGCAGACTATAAACTTTTCCTAAATTGTAAACCCTTTTATAAAAGTACTACATAACCATGTATTTAAAAAAAAAAAAAAAAACTCTTATAAGATAGTTTGGGTTCTTCCTTCTTTGGGACAGGTTTTGAACTAAATCCGCATTTACCAAGTGTGTTTTACAGAATGCTGAAACAACAAAATTGTAATAGGTTGCTACTGTAATAGGTTCCTTAGTATCAGGTCTCTTCATTGAAGAACTTCTCAAAAACAGCATTTTTCATGTGCAGTGGGAATCTCCTACAGGAAGATAAAATAAATAGTTTTCCCAAATATTTCTGACCACCAAACCCTTACATAAGGAGTACTTCACAGGACACCAGAGGTGGGAAGTGCTTGGGTAGATATTTTTATAGTTCCCATAATGGACTGTTTCCCACGTTCTTGCCTACACAGAAACTGAAGCTGGACTTGTACAATGTTCTAAGATTATGGGCGCCATCTAGTGTTTGTGTATTGGCTAAACACATTGCATGGCAATGGGCAAATGGAGATTACCCAGCTCCATTGTGGAGATTTATTTATTCCAGGCCTCCCCTTCGTCCCCACCAGAGCTGCAGTACTAAGGTAGTTAAGACATTGAAAGATAAAAGAAAATCATCACTTTAGGCTACATTCCATACATGTATTGTGAGTGATCTTTTCTCTAATTTCCCTTTTATGTATTCTATTTTTCAGGGATTTGTTGTAGAAAGAAATCCAATAATTGAACAGTCTTCTTGAGGTATTCATGGAGGAGAATTTAGGGCATTCAGCAGGCAAGCACAGTAACTAGTGCAGTGGCCTCCTCAGGCATTCTTCCTGCAGAGGGAAAGATAGAAATGCTTGTGTTATTTATTACAATGCTTTGTTATGAAAAAAAATGTGGAATAGAACACGTAGAAGCAATACGCCTAGAAAGATTCTTTCCTGTCTCTCCAAGCAATTTGAGTTTATTCATTTCTCGAGAGTCTAAGGAGATCATCCCAGCTGCATTATTAAGTCCAAAGTCCTTCTTGGTGGACTTAATGTGTTTAACTAAGTGTGTTCCAAGATGCATTTTGGGGAGTATGTGTTGCTGGAGTGGAAATGCTACAGTTATTGATGTGAAGGTGCCACAGGAAATTGAATTTTCAAATTAGAATTTAAACTGCGTCATTGGTTTACAAATAGTA